GAAAAAAAAAATTTTTTTATGAAATGATAGGGAATATTTTCTCGATGGTAATGACACCAAAAGTACGAAATTTGATCGAAAACATGGCATACTGTTATCCTTCCCCATCACACACAAGTTACTCTTGACGACACTGTTTTTCTTGAACACTTTGGGATTTTCAGAGTGATGCAACAGTAAAGGCTTCACTTTGAAATCTCTACTAGCATTACTTCAGAGCAAAAGAGTAAGCCTGTGTTTCATAGGCTTGTGTCCTGGCGGTGCCTTTTCCTCCTGCATGATGTAGGTCCTCTTTGGCATTTTCTTCCAAAAGAGGCTTGTTTCGTCACAATTGAACACTTGTTGGGGGAGGAATTTTTCAGCCTCTACATAGTCCTTGAATTCATGCACATATTTTTCAGCCACATATTTGTTAGAACTGGCAGCCTGGCCATGCCTTACCACACTGTGTATGCCACTACGCTTCTTAAATCTCTCAAACCAGCCTTTGCTGGCTTTAAATCCACTAACATCAGCACTTGTTGCAGACATTTTCTTTACAAGATCATCATGCAACTGCCTTGCCTTTTCACAAATTATCGACTGCATAACACTATCGCAAGGATTTGCGATCTCATTTTGTGAGCATATTTACCCCTTTCGCAACAACAGCTTCCTTGATTCCTTTTCTGCCTGATGAGCAGGGTTTTTTTCCCATACATCTGGTTAGCTCTGCCACTCACTCCACTTCTAGGTGGCACTGGAGTTTTTCTTTGATGATTGTTGTTTCCTTACATCTACACAAGTGGCACTAGGAGTTTTCTTGAGATGGGTTGTGCATTGCGCACTAAGAATAAAAATGAACTGTAATGATGTGTGGGGATCATGCTCCCGCTGTATAACTTGGCACAACTACGTATTTGTGGTCGCCTGGTTCCCGTATACCTTGGACGATGACTACGTATTGATAGTCAAACCGGTCGAAGTAAATGCCCTAAGTTCGAACTGACTTCCGAGAAATAAAAAGTCAATTTTGTAATGAACTTGATTATTGTTTTTAATTTGTTTTCATGTATTTACTTTATTTTATTGTTTTATTTTGGTTTTACATGTTTGGAAATACTGTTTCTTCAGTACTGTTTTTATTCCGTAAATTTGGAAATAAAAACATGGTACAACAAGTTGTTTAATTCCGCAGAATTGTGAGGTAAATAAAATTGGTCGAAAGACGATGTTGTAAATCAGCAGTCGTTAATCAGATCGTAGTTATATTTTAGGAAAAGTTATTTTTAAATTCGAATTCTTTATCACATTATCTTTTTCAAATTGGACAGTATTCATACTTAATTCTATAATTATTAGTAAATTGGAGCTCAGAATTTCTTTGTTACCAGTCTAAAAATTGACAGAAACTTTGAGATGCGCTCTAAAAAGTTTAAACATTACTTAATGAATCCAGCATCACATTACCTGATTCCCTAGAGAGTTCGGGGGAAGCCCCGCGGCCCGGTCTGTGCCGCCTCTTAGGTCAGTGTCCAGGAGCGACCACACCGCGACTAACCCCAGGTACCCTTTTATGATGGGAACATAGCAACAGTGGAAGAAACACGTCCAATTTTCTACTCTTGCATAGTTATATCCCAATATTATATAAGCCTATGTTTAATATTATGCACCTTTTCTTCTTAAGTTTATTTAGGTACAGTTACACAAATTATCATATCTAAGTAATGTGTGTAAATTACCCACCAGGATAACCCCGAAAAAAGTCAATGACTTATTTCCATTGGGGGTCCTTGGTATATTGACTAATTAGTCTCTGATGTGCTGTTCCTACCTATAGTCTTGAAAATCAACCTTATCAGTACAGATAAAAGGACCAAAACTACTGAATAACTTACTAGATTCATTGATTTAGAATTCTGTTTGTATGTATAGTAATTTTAAAATTAGTTTAACTTTTAATTTGACCTGACTACATTTTACTAACATAGAAACATGGAACATTACATACTGGTAGTTTTACTCCTGGTCAAATTTGCTTAAAATGTTGTTCATTCAGTGGATTTAAAAAAAAAATTGTTTATGATGTTTTAAAAAAAAAATTTTTCTTGTTTTTTTATGTCAAGAAGAATATTCTACAGGTCACAAACATGCAATTTTTGTCCTGAACTGTTTATAATTTCTCGACTTATTGTTGCATGTTCTTTTCTAAAAGACCTTTGTAATATCTGTTGCTATGAATGATAAGAACATAAGAATGGAGGGACACTGCAGAAGGCCTACTGGCCCATACAAGGCAGGTCCTTATCAAAACCACCTCTACCCAAAGCTACCCAAGAATTTACTCTCGTACCCAATGACACCAATCAAACCCAGCCCCTCCCACTCACATATTTGTCCACTCTCTTTTTAACCCATAAACAGTGTGTTATAGGATGAAAATAAAAAAAATTAGGGTCAGTACTTACTGAGATATGAGGCTGCAAAGTTGGCACTTAATGCTCACCTGACAGCAACATAGTCCTGCCGCTTGCAGAAGTGTTGCCGATATACTATTTTTCTCATTTTTATATTAAAAATTATATAAAATATGTTCTAATAATTACAATTTATTGTAGTTCTTGTCATTTCATAACCAATCTGTTCTGACATTAATATTAGGTACTGAAATTGTACTCAAATTGTCACAAACACATTGACAGGTGGACATTTACACCTGCCTTGGTCATTTACTATTGTCTAAGAATATATGCAAAGTATTTATAGGTCCCAGCAATGTTTTGGATACACGGGAGTATAGAAGAAGAAGAAGTAGGAAGAAATTCCCTTGAAGCAATGTGTAAGACAAGTGTTCAGTGACAAGCATCCTGGAGGGTAGTGATGAGATCAGATATGAGATGATATTTGTTGAGCTCCAGTGAGGGTGCAGAGATGAGATAGTGCAGAGATAAGAGAAGATAAGCTATGACATTTGATGAGTGCCAGCGAGGGTGCAGAGATAAGGGATGACAATTGATGAGCTCTATCTCTGATTATCTGTCTCTGTCTTATATCTCTGTCTGCTTGCCTCTTTCTGTCTCTCTGCTTGTCTCTCTGTCTGTCTCAGAGAGAGCCACTGTGAACCAACAGGTATTCTTGTGCATTATATCTACAAGCACAGTATTGCACTTCATATTTTTTAGGTTATCCTTGGTAATTTACACTATGTATGATTGTATTTGTGTGTACCTGTGAGACAGAGGCAGATAGCCAGAGACAGAGGCAGACAAATGGACAGAGACAGAGACAGACAGATAGAGACAGAGACAGAGAGACAGATAGAGACAGATAGACAGAGACAGATAGACAGACTCTAAACTTGGAGTTAACATCACTTTCCTCTTAAAAGGGGAGTGTTAATATGACATTACGTCAGTGAATCCTTGGTGTTTGCCCCACTGTTTGCTCTAGCTGGAGCTCAATATAACTGGCACTCCCACAAGGTACTAAGTGGTCCCAGATTTTTTTAATATGGTGCACACCAAGTGTTAAGACCCATTCTATGCTGACCAGGCATCTTAGGCCAATTGTGCCAAATTTGGAGGCAAGAAAATTTAGACGTATATTTACGTTTTGGGCGCTAGTGGTAAGAATGTATATATACATGTACATTTGGATTTGGACCGTTTGCGGGTTAAAGCTACCCAAGGTCCTAGCCTTGATCACCCTACTCGGAAGAGTGTTCCATGCATCCACAACTCTGTTAGAAAACCAGTACTTATCTATGTCCTTTCTAAATCTAAATTTATCCAACTTAAATCCATTATTTCTTTATTAATATCTCCTTTGTTTATGCTCGTCATCCACTTATACACTTCGATGATATATCCCCTCATTCTACGTCTCCCCAGAGAGTGGAGATTTAAGACTTTAAGTCTATCTTCATATGGGAGATCCTTATACAGTAAATAATTTCATTCTTCTCTGTATGTTCTCTAATGAGTCTATATCCATCCTGTAGTAAGGAGACCAAAAGTAAGTGGCATAATCTAAATGAGGCCTCACTAGTGATGTATAGAGCTGTAAAATAACTTTTGGACTTCTGTTACTTATACTGCTTGAGATAAATCCTAATAATCTGTTAACCTTGTTGCACACACTTAGACACTGCTGTCTTGGCTTTAGATTTCTGCTTACCATGACTCCCAAGTCACTCACATTCTGTATGATCAAGCTCTACTTCACCTAGTTTATAGCTTCAAGGGTTATTTTCATTACCAAGGACAAGTACCTTACACTTATCCACATTGAACTTCATCAGCCATTTTCAGACCAATCTGTCATTTTTCAGATCTTTACCTTTACTTTTTATTAAAAATCTTGCAGAAAATTTAAGTGAAATCAGTAGTTTTTGGCAGTATTGCACCCAACTACTGTACTACATACTATACTGATAATATAAAGAGCAAAAGACAATACCATGACTAGAACAATACACAAATAACCCACACAAAGGAGAAAGAAACTTATGATGATGTTTTGGCCTGACCTGGACATTTAACCCATAAACGGTCCAGGCAGATCTACGTTCACATGTGTAGTGCTCCAAAAGTAGATCTGCGTTTTTTTTACATATTTTCAAATATAACAAAAAAAAAAAGTAGATCAAAGTTTTTTACACATTTTCAGATGTAAAAAAATAAAAAATTATTTTTTTTACATACTTTCAAATGTTGAAAAAACGTATATATACGTTTGGACCATTTACGGGTTAACTAGACACACACTAACACATGAAGGTAAGGGAGCTGGTGTACAAGAGGAGGAGGAGGAGGGATGGGACAAAGAGAGGAGGAAAAAAGAAAGAAGTGGAGATAGTAGTGGTAGAGGTAATGCTGGTAGTGGAAATATCTCTCTCCCATGTGTTGTTATTTGTGTATACTGATAATATGCTTGATTTGACAAGTGCCACATCATCTCTATTATTACTTGTCACAGATTTTGAGTACTACAAAGATTTTAGTAATATTGTAATCCATTTATTTTCAGAGTTGAATATAATGGACACATCACAACTTGCCACCAGTGCCAGACACTGTGAAGAGGAGGAGGAGGATGATGATGATAAAATTGAAGATGAATGCCTCTTTAGGGGAAGCTTTGGTAAAAAAGATGCATCAAGATGGGCTTCCAGTTCCATACATTATGGAGATTACCATACCAGCCATGAAGACAAGAACAGAAATGACAGAAGTGGTTGGGGCCAAAGAAGAGGCAGAGGTAATGATTTTGGAATGAGAAGAGGTGGTAAAGAGGTTGGATTAGATCACAGGAGAAAGAGAGACTACCCCATAAGTTTCAGGGAACTGGAAAGGCTATTACAAGTACCGTCTGATGTAGTGGTCACAGAACTGTTAAGGAAAGGGTCGGGCTATCATCAACTTTTTGAAGAGGATAATGTAAAAGATAAGTTTATACTTTTGATAAAAGTTCTCTCTCATGCATCTTCTACTCAATCAAACAAAGAAAATTTATGTGACCTCTTCAACAAAACTTTTGAAACAAAGTTCATAGACAAATTGTGCAATTTTGTATTTTCTATTAAGAGACTATATTTAAACAATGCAAAAGCAATTGTTCACTAAGTTGCTAGTAATTTTGGAAGCATATGCAAATGCAATGCCAACTAATGCCATTGACAAGTTGCCCAGTTTATTAGATGCTTGCATTGCAGTTTTGACACCATTGAAGGAAAAGAATTTGATAAGTGAAATACTTTTCAAACAATATGAAGACCTACAAGAAATGCTGACAGAAGCCTCTAAACAGTGGGAACAAGAAAAAAAGCTTGATGCTGAAGAAAGGAGAAGACAGAAGTATGAAATGGACCACATGGAACCACCTGATGATTTTAAGGAATATTCAGTACTTCCCACACCTGGAGATTTATCAGCAGTTGAACGACCATTTCTTCGCAAGAACATAATAAAGGGAAAATATAATGATCCTGATCACTACTTAGACGTTCAGTTTCGACTTCTACGTGAAGATTTTGTAAGACCTTTGAGGAAAGGAATTCAGGATTTCAAGAGTGAAGAGGCAATAAAATTAGGGATGTAAGAATTTACCAAGGTGTTACTGTTGTAGGATCTCACATTAAGAATCTTGCAATAATTCATCATGTTCAGTTGAGTATGTTATATGGAGTCAAATTTGAGAATTCCAAGCGCTTGTTGTATGGTAATCTTCTGTGTTTCAGCAGTGATGGCTTCAGAACCTTGCTTCTTGCCTCAGTTGCTGAAAGAGATCAGGAATTGTTAAAAAAGGGGATTATTGGTGTTCAGTTTGAGTCTGATATTGAGATGTTTGACATGTCCAGTAAATTCTTGATGGTTGAGTCAAGGGCCTATTTTATGCCTTATAAACATGTCTTAATGGCTCTGAAAAATATGTCTGGAACATCTTTTCCTTTGGCACCTTACATTGTTTATGTTGAACCAAACATTAAATCTCCACTCTATTTAGATGATGGAGAAATATATGATTTAAGAGTCATTAGAAATATGAAAATGATGAAAAAATCTGAGGCATATAATACACTGTTTGACATTGAAATAGATACTGAGGAACCTGAAGATAGTCAGTGGATGCACCTGAAAGAAGTGAATGTTAAAGAGGATCTCAGAGCATGGCCATCTGAAAATGATTTGGGTCTTGACAGTTCACAACGTAGAGCTCTTCGTAGCGGCTTGACACGTCAGCTAGCAATCATCCAAGGTCCTCCTGGTACCGGTAAGACTTTCATAGGTCTCAAGATCACACAGATCTTGTTGCACAATAGTCAGGTTTGGAAAAATATGGATCATCCAACACCCATTTTGGTTGTGTGTTTCACCAACCATGCACTGGATCAGTTTTTGGAGGGAATGAATTCTTTTACAAGTAACATTCTTAGAATTGGTTCTAGATCCAAAAGTGTGAATATAAATCGCTTTCAAGTAAACTCATTAGTCCATACACTTCAAGAGCAAAGTGGTGTTCCAAGGTCCATCCGAGACAGGACTTTTGAGTTACGGAACCAGATAGTATCACTTGAAAGTAAAATAACTTTTATGAGAAAGATGATAAAGAGTCATAAATCAAATGAAGGGATACTGTCCTTTGACCTGTTTATATCTGAAGGTATTATACCACCACATTTGGTAGAACAATTGAAAGTAGTTTCAAATGATAAGTTCACAGGGTGGTTGCTCTGTAACATTCAACAAGATAATCAAGAATATCATCTCCAGCTTCAGTTAGCAGAATCTCAAGCTAAAACTACTTCCTTGATGCAGGAAAAAAATGTGGAAAAGGAGGATGAATCAGGTAATGAGGGAGATGATCACTGGAAAGATGTCCAGGATCTGTGTGCTATTGAAGAGCAAGATAGACTGGTTGTAGAAGAAGGTTGGAATCACAATTATGACTTAAAATATAATATTGAGTACATGGACTATGAAACAACAAATGATAGGCTTTCTGAGAAGTTAAAAATAGCAATGAATGCTTATGAGAAAGCAGCAGATTCAGATAATAAGCTAAGATGTACAATTGTTGCTGGTCAGATGGAAGCATTAAAAATTGGTCTTACATTATTTGGAGACCCCAGAGAATTACATCAATTAGAAAAGGAACAGCAACTTAATTTATGGAGTCTTAGCATTGAAAAGAGGTGGTACCTATATAATTATTGGTCAGAGAAGTTCATCACCAAAATAAATGATAAAATTAAAATTTTGGAATCAAATTACCAAAAGATTTCACGGACCCTGCAAGAAACCCGGAACCAGGAGTATTTGTATGCCATGCGTCATGCCTCAGTGGTGGGCATGACAACTACAGGAGCAGCTCAGTACAATACTGTTTTGAAAGACTTGGCTCCTGCTATTGGTGAGTTGTAAGCTTTAATATTTGTGTATTAATGCCTTAGACAGGTACAATACAGTATTCATTTGTAATACAAAAATAGCTTGCATATAGGAGAAGCTCATGACAATGTTTTGGTACATCCTGGACCGGACTTGTAAATGGTCCAAGTTGTACCGAAACATTGCCATAATCTTCTCTGTCTCCTGTGTGCGTGCTGTTTGTGTATTGTTCCAGTGACAATATTGTGCCATTCTGTGTTTTGTTCACATATAATCAAGGGCTTGACAGTCCAGCTATGGGCAGGCTTTTTTATTTTTAATTTTTTTCTTATAGGTTTACATATAGTGCATGCAGACTATAATTATGGAAAAATGCATAAAAAAGTAATAACCCATTGTGGCTTGCATGGTGTCTTGTTGTACCGTACCAGTACTCTGAATCCCAGTACTGTACCAGTACTCTGAATGCCAGTACTGTACCAGTACTCTGAATCCCAGGACTGTACCAGTACTCTGAATGCCAATACTGTACCAGTACTGTGAATCTCAGTACTGTACCAGTACTCTGAATCCCAGTACTGTATAAGTACTCTGAATCCTAGTACTGTGCCATTACTCTGCTTGAATCCCAGTACTGTACCAGTACTCTGCTTGAATCCCAGTACTGTACCAGTACTCTGCTTGAATCCTAGTACTGCACCAGTTCTCTGAATCTCAGTACTGTACCAGTACTCTGAATCTTAGTACTGTACCATTACTCTGAATCTCAATACTGTACCAGTACTCTGAATTCTAGTACTTAACCAGTACTCTGAATCCTAGTACTGTGCCAGTACTCTGAATCCTAGTAATGTACCAGTACTCTGCTTGAATCCCAGTACTGTACCAGTACTCTGAGTCCCAGTACTGTACCAGTACTCTGCTTGAGTCCCAGTACTGTACCAGTACTCTCATTGAATGCTAGTACTGTACCAGTACTCTGCTTGAGTTCCAGAACTGTACCAGTACTCTGCTTGAGTCCCAGTACTGTACCAGTACTCTGCTTGAGTCCCAGTACTGTACAAGTACTATGCTTGAGTCCCAGTACTGTACCAGTACTCTGCTTCAGTCCCAGTACTGTACCAGTACTCTGCTTGAGTCCCAGTACTGTACCAGTACTCTGCTTGAGTCCCAGTACTGTACCAGTACTCTGCTTGAATCCCAGTACTGTACCAGTACTCTGCTTGAGTCCCAGTACTGTACCAGTACTCTGCTTGAGTCCCAGTACTGTACCAGTACTCTGCTTTAGTCCCAGTACTGTACCAGTACTCTGCTTGAGTCCCAGTACTGTACCAATACTCTGCTTGAGTCCCAGTACTGAAACAGTACTCTGCTTGAGTCCCAGTATTGTACCAGTACTCTGCTTGAGTCCCATTACTCTACTTGAGTCCCAGTACTGTACCAGTACTCTGAGTCCCAGTACTGTACCAGTACTCTGAGTCCCAGTACTGTACCAGTACTCTGCTTGAGTCCCAGTACTGTACCAGTACTCTGCTTGAGTCCCAGTACTGTACCAGTACTCTACTTGAGTCCCAGTACTGTACCAGTACTCTGCTTGAGTCCCAGTACTGTACCAGTACTCTGCTTGAGTCCCAGTACTGTACCAGTACTCTACTTGAGTCCCAGTACTGTACCAGTACTCTACTTGAGTCCCAGTACTGTATCAGTATTCTGAGTCCCAGTACTGTACCAGTACTCTGAGTCCCAGTACTGTACCAGCACTCTGCTTGAGTCCCAGTACTGTACCAGTACTCTGCTTGAGTCCCAGTACTGTACCAGTACTTGGCATGAGTCCCAGTACTGTACCAGTACTCTGCTTGAGTCTCAGTACTGTACCAGTACTCTGCTTGAGTCCCAGTACTGTACCAGTACTCTGAGTCCCAGTACTGTACCAGTACTCTGCTTGAGTCCCAGTACTGTACCAGTACTCTGCTTGAGTCCCAGTACTGTGCCAGTACTCTGCTTCAGTACCAGTACTGTACCAGTACTCTGCTTGAGTCCCAGTACTGTACCAGTACTCTGCTTGAGTCCGCAGTGCTGTACCAGTACTCTGCTTGAGTCCCAGTACTGTACCAGTACTCTGCTTGAGTCCCAGTACTGTACCAGAGTACTCTGCTTGAGTCCCAGTACTTACAAACTCTTTAGTCCCGTATGTACCAGACTTTGGGGCCCATCTGTACCGTACCTTTGCCCATCTGTACCAGTACTTTTTGAGCCCAGTAGTACCGTACCCCTTGAGCCCATCGACCTACTGAGTCCGTACGTCCCAATTTACCCCCTTTCCAACTCGCTTATCCAAACTGTACAATTCATCCCTTTTTCCCTTTTCGGGTCCCAGTACTGTCCATACTCTGCTTAGTCCCTTTTGTCCTTCAGTCCCTTGTCCATACTTAGCCCCTTTCCCAGTACTTTTTTTTTTACCGTTGAGTCCCAATTTTTTTTTGGTCCCAGACTTCCCATCTTTTTTGGCCCCCTTTTTCCAGTTTACTTTTACCCAAAATTTACCTTCCCTTTACCTATTTTGTACCCCGAAGTCCCCAAACCCTACTTGTTTGATCCCAAAAAAATTTTTTTTAAAAGTAACCCCTTTTCTGCTTAGTCCCCCCGTACTTCCCGTTTCCCTTGTCCAAATTTGTTACCATATTTTTTCCTAATCCCCAGTTGTATTTTTGTTAACCCCTTTTTTTTGAACTTCCTTACCCGTTTTCCAAATTTTTTTCCCCTTTTGTCCCCCCCCGTCCCAAAAAATTAAAAACCCAGATCCGAATCCCTATCCCCCTTTTAAACTACTTTCCCCCTCCCGGGAATTGGGTCCCCGAAAATTTTTTTCCGATATCCCAAAAACCCCAAAACCGAACCCAAATTGCCCTTTTTTTTCCCCCCAGTACTGTCCAAATTTCTCCTTTCCCATCTTCCCGGTAACCCCTTTTCCCTTTTCCCTCTGATCCCCCAGTAAAAAAAAACCCCTTTTTAAAATCTCCTCGGGGTTTTTTCCCCAGACTTGTTGGGCCCAAAACTTTTGGGCCCATCCCATTTTACCCTTACCAAACCCCCCGGAGTCCCCTTTTAAAAAGCCCCCTTTTAACCCCAGTAATTTTTACTTTTCCCCTCTTTCCTTAAAAAAAACTTTAAAACCCCCCCAAATTTCCTTGGTTACGTAAAATTCTGCTTGATCCCAGTTTAAAATTTTTTTGGGCCCCAATACCCCTTTTATTTTTCCCCCCCCGGGCCCTTTTTCCCCTTTTCCCCTTATCCCTGGCCCGTACCCATACTCGGGCCCCTACGTACCAAATTTTTAAAATTTTCCCTTGATCCCCCCCCCCGTTAAAGCCCCCCGGGTACTTCGCTTTGATTCCCCCTTCCCTACCCGGGTCCAGTATTTCCCCCTACCCCCCGTACTGTTTAAAGTCCCTTTCTTGGTCCAAAAAACCATCTCTCTGCCAATTCCAGTCCCTTTTTGGTAAAAACCATACCTGCTTAGTCCCCAGTACTGTCCACCCCCCTTTTTCCCCATTAAAGTCCCCCCGTTAAGGTACCAAAATTTTTTGGTCCCCCCCCCCCCTTAGCCCCCCCCCGGAAAAAGGGTTTTAATTACCTTCTCTTTCCCCCATTTGGGGTCCAAGTCCTTATCCCACCCCTTTTGTCCCTTTACCATTTATCCCCCTTTTGCCCCGTACCCTTAAAACCAAACCCTCGGCCCCCCAAAAGTACAAACAAACCCAACCCAACTCCCCCCTTTGGTCCCAGTTCCCCCCCCCCAAAAACTTACCCGGGACCCCTGTCCAGATCTCTAAATCCCTTTTTTTAAACCCCAACCCATTAAAAATTTTTTTTAAAAAAATTTTCCCTTTTTTTGGTCCCAGAATCCCCTTGGCCCAGTACGTACCACCCCCTTTTTGGAGTCCCCCCCCAGAAAACCAAAACCCCATTTTTCCCCCCTTTCCCAGTCCCCAGTACCCTTTTCCCCCTTTCCCTTTTTTATTTTTCCAAACCCCCGGGGTTTTTCCCCCAAAATTTTTGGATCCCCGAACCAAATCTTTTTCCCCCCAGTATTCTTTTTTTAAAATCCCCCCGGCCCCAACTTCCCCAGCTTCCCTTTTCCCCCCCCTTTTTTTGCTTGAGTCCCCAACTGAAACCGTACCCTGTTGGGTCCCAGTAACTGTAAGCTTTTAGTCCCCCCCAAAGTATTTTTGGGTAAACCAGTTTAAAACCCAGAGTCCCCCCCCCCCCAGTATTTTGGGTCCCAGTACTCCAAACCTGTTTGGGGGCCCTTACTGTCCAATCGTTTTGAGCCCAGTACTTACCAAAGTCCCCCTCCGCCTGAATCCCCCCCCCCCCCCCAGAAAACTGTACCAAAAGTAACCCCACCAGTCCTTTATAGTATTTTTCCAGTACTGTTACCCATAACCAAAGACCCCCGTTTTTGTAATTTTTCCCAGTACTGTACCAGTATTTTATATTTCTTTCTGAGCCCCATACTGTCCAGTAACTCCTTGAGCCCCCCAGAAACTGTCCAGTACTCGTTTGAGCCCCAAGTCCCAACTGTGGCCCCCAGTTCTTTTCCTTTTGATTTTCCCAGTACTGAAAACCATACTCTGCTTTTTTTTCCCTTGGTCCCAGACTGTACCAGTCTCTTTGAGTCCCATACGTACCTTTCCCTTGGCCCCCAATGACCCCCCCCCCCAAAAACCTGCTACCCAGAAACTACCGCTTGAGTCCCACCCATACGGTTTACCCAAAGTAAACTTGCTTAAATTCCGCTTAAACTTTTACCCATTTTCCTGAAGTCTCCAATATTAAACATTTGTTAATCCCATCTGGGATCCCCCCCATTTAAAATTTTGTAAACCAAGTAAAACTCTGCTTGAGCCCCAGTACTGTCCAGAAAACTCTGCTTGAGCCCCCCCAAACCCATAGGAGTCCCAGTACGGGACCAGTACTCTGATCCCATATTTAACCATACCCCTGATCCCGTACTGTACC